TAGAACCTCTCCAGATGTTCCCCAGAACATCTCCAGATGTTCTCTGGGTGTTCTCCAGAACCTCTCTGGGTGTTCCCTGGAACCTCTGGGGATGTTTTCCGGGATGTCCCTGGGGGGTGGTCCCAGACCATCCCCAGATGTTCCCCAGAACATCTCCAGATGTTCTCTGGGTGTTCTCCAGAACCTCTCTGGGTGTTCCCTAGAAGGTCTCTGGGTGGTCTCCAGAACCTCTGTGAATATTCCCCGGAACCTCTCCAGATGTTCCCTGGATGTTCTCCAGAACCTCTCCAGATGTTCCCTGGATGTTCTCCAGAACCTCTCCAGATGTTCTCTAGAATTTATTAGATTTTTTTTTTCAGGAACTTCTCCAGATGTTCTCCAGGATGTCTCTGGGTGGTGCCCAGACCATCACCAGATATTCTCCAGACCCTCTCTGGGTGTTCCCTGGAACCCCTGGGGATGTTCTCCAGGATGTCCCTGGGGGGTGGTGCCCAGAATGTCCCAGATGTTCCCCAGACCCTCTCCAGATGTTCTCCAGAACTCCTCCTAAGGTTCTCTGGGTGTTCTCCAGACCCTCTCTGGGTGTTCCCTGGAACCCCTGGGGATGTTCTCCAGGATGTCCCTGGGGGGTGGTCCCAGACCATCCCCAGATGTTCCCCAGAACTTCTCCAGATGTTCTCCAGATGTTCTCTGGGTGTTCTCCAGACCCTCTCTGGGTGTTCCCTGGAACCCCTGGGGATGTTCTCCAGGATGTCCCTGGGGGATGGTCCCAGACCATCCCCAGATGTTCCCCAGAACTCCTCCTGAGGTTCTCTGGGTGTTCTCCGGATCCTCTCCAGTTGTTCCCGGAGTGCCCCCCACGGGGCCTCTGCCCCCCCCGGCCGAGTTTAATCCGTGTCCTTCCATCCCCAGCCTGGAGCAGCCCATCCCCGCCGTCATCAGCGCCGTCCGCTCCCGGCCCAGGCCCCGTAAGTGCTCCCACCCCTCCAAAATTTGGGAATTGGGGCCGTTCCGGGCCGTTCCTGACCCCCCTATCCCTCTCTTCCAGTCTCCGCCACCGCCCGGTGCCATTCCCGGCTTTTTGCCGGAGCGGGGCAGGGAATTCCCGGCTCTTCACCCAATGGAGGCGGCACAAAGACCCTCCGGGGGGCCCAGTGACCCCCCCCGGGGCCTCCTGGGCTCGGATTCCACCTGGGAAGATCCTCAATGGGAACAGAGAAGCACCTGGAAACACCTGGAAAGCCCTTGGTCCCACATTCCGGCCTCCTGAGGGATGAGAATCCTGCGGGTCCCTGTCCCCACCCCCACCCTGCTCCAGCAGAACCCACCCGGCACCTCCGGGAATGTCCCGTTCCCATTCCCGTTCCCATTCCCATCCCAGGACCTCCAGGACTCTCCCATTCCCATCCCAGGACCTCCGGGACTCTCCCATTCCCATTCCCGTTCCTGTTCCCATTCCCATTCCCGTTCCCATTCCCATCCCAGGACCTCCGGGACTCTCCCATTCCCATTCCCGTTCCCATTCCCATTCCCGTTCCCATTCCCATCCCAGGACCTCTGGGACTCTCCCATTCCCATCCCAGGATCTCTGGGACTCTCCCATTCCCATCCCAGGATCTCCGGGACTCTCCCATTCCCATCCCATTCCCACCTTTCCCGGGGGATTTGCAGCCGCCCCAGGAATGTCCTGGGGGAGGAGGGGGAGGGTCCTTCCCCCACTTTGACCCTTTCCCGGTGTCCCCAACCCCTCCTCCTGCTCCCAGAGGTGCTCCCTGCCGTGGTTTTCCAAGGAAAACACCGTCCAGCTTTCCCAGCCGGAGGGAATCGCCCTCCCAGGGGGATTTGTCCCCACCAGATTCCCGGCTCCGGACAATCCTTGGCTGCTCCAGCCCTTGGGAGGCCCCTCATCCCTTCTCTCCGGAGCTGAAATCCTCCCAGCTGGGATTTGGGATTTTCCTGCTCCCTCTCCCTCTCCAGGTGCTCCAGACCCCACACACCATCCAAAAATTGGGATATTGGTTTCCATTTAGCAGGAATTCCTAAAACCTCGGGATGGGTTGGATTGGGAGGGACCTTAAAGGCCCTCAAAGCTCCTCCCATCCCACCTTTCCATGGGCAGGGACATTTTCCACCCTCCCGGGGGGCCTTGGACACTCCCAGGGGATGGGGAATCCTCTGGGAAATCCATTCCCACCCTCCCGGGGAGGAATTCCTTCCTAAAATCCAATCCAGACCTCCCCAAAAAGCTGGAAAACCCCCCCATGTTTGTATTTATTGATCTTCTCCCGGGATTGGCCCTTCCCTGGATCCCACCCCGGCCCATCCCGAGGCTCCAAAGCTCCTGGAGCTCCCTGGAGGTGCCACATTCCCACATTCCCAGCCCAGGTCGGTTTGGGGACATTCCCGTGGCCTCTGGCACAGCCCATCCCAACATCCCGCAGGATTTCCCTTCCCGGCTCCAGCCACGCAGCCCCCTGGAATTCCCGGATTTCCGTCCACATTCCCACCTTCCCGTAGGACAGACTCCCCCCAGCACATCCCTGTTCCCGCAGCTCCCGTTCCTTGGGGTCAAGGCTCTTCCAATAAAGTTCCGTCCCCCCCAAATCCGTCGTGTCCTCGGTTCTTTCCCGATTTCCCACCTCCTGGAGCGGGAATTCCTTCCCGGCAGGATTCACCCGAGGGCTCCGGATGAGCTCCGGCACCGGAGGAGGCTGGAATTGCTTCCCAGGAGAATTCCCGTGGCCCTGGGACCCCCATTCCCTGCGGCCCCTCATTCCCTTTGGGATCACAGGGGGTTTCCCTGGAGCTCCTGAGGGACTTTCCTGGGTGATCCCAACCACTCCAGGGATCCAAAGGCTCCAGAAGAGCCAAATTTTGGGAAAACCTCTGCTCTTCGCTGCTCTCCTGGAGACCTTTGGAAAACTCAGGGACAGTTTTCCCTTCCCAAACTCCTCCCGCCCCTCTCCAAGGGGGAATTCCCGTGTCCCCGGGACCCCCATTCCCTCCAGCCCCTCATTCCCTTTGGGATCATGGAGATTTCCTTGGAGCTTCCGAGGGACTTCCCTGGGAGATCCCAACCACTCCAGGTTTCCCAGAGGTCCTGGAGGACCCAAATTTGGGAGCAGCTCCCCAGGATGGGAGGCAGAGGATGGGAAGGACATTCCAGGGTCTGGTTGGGATGGGAAGGGGGGGGGCTCTGGGCAATTCCCAATTGTTCCCAGAGCTGCCTCTGGAGGCAGGAACCTGCAGAGCCCTTGGAAAAGTCATTCCCAGCTGGAGGAACAAAGTCATTCCCAACTGTGGGAGGGGGGGGAGGCCAGGGATGAATTCCCTGCTCTGGCAGGAACAGGAGAGGGAATACAGGGCTTGGAATTCCCTCCTGGAAAGGGACACAGGGCTTGGAATTCCCTGGAAAGGGACAGAAACACAGGGC